TAAACATATCAGTGACAGCTAGAAAAATGAATCGTTATCAAAATAGCTGTTCGTAATTTCATATATGACGTGTTCTCTTAACAGATTATTAATATTTCATAAATGACGTGTGTTAACGTATGTTTACTAACATGGAGAAAAAACCTAGAAAATGACACAAAATTGGGTTTTTAATCGTCCGTTATTTGATTTCCAAAATAGTGAGGCCATGTTTTAATGGCTAAGGATGACACTCCTGTGAATACAATTAAACCATTAGAATCATAATCGGTACTCTAGTTTTCTTTAGAGTAGGCTGCGTAAAACGCATTCTGGGCCGTGACAGACGGACATAAATTGAGATAAGACATGTTTCAACTTCTTCAATGTATAAAACGTAAAAATAAACCAAAACATGTATAATTCTGAGCAATGTATAGACAAAACTATTTATATAGATTAACTACAGGGTGTCCACATTCTGGAAAGTCAGGGATAGTCATGGAAAGTCATGGAAAAAAATTCTGGTCATTGAAAGTCATGGAAATAGGCAAAAAGTCATGGAAAGACATATGGAAATCCCCAATGATGGATGGATTTCAGGGGTCCTTTCAACGATCTAGTCGGCCGTAACCCCGACTATTGTAGCATTTTTCCGAATTTTTCACAAATATAAGACAATTCAATTTATTCAGTTGGTTTAGTTGATGGGTTTTGAGTTTGTATTTTGTTCATTGTTGTACCTGTTGTACGCCATTGTTATCTGTTAATACATATTTCAGTATTTTCTGTCTAGGCAGTATTATTCGTGTGTTTACGGTATATTATAATTTTCGAGTAAAGTTTGTGAGTCATCGAAATCAATGGTTAATGGTCATGGATAGGCCTAGTCATGGAAAGTCAGGGAAATTAATGAAAAAATTTCTGTGGACACCCTGAACTAGGTTTGAATTTTTAATATAAAAAAATGTATAAAACTTATTTTAGTTTTACAAATAGTGCTTGGCGGGGAATAATGTTTCTCATTTGTTGTGTACCTCATTTATTGGGGGGGCTGTTGCTCAATTGGGGGGGGGGGGGGTGCGTCATGAGTCTAGGGGGGATGGGCACCCCTGTTTTTGGTTTGTTTAAAAAACGTAAAGAAACAGAAACTACATCTAGGTTTTACTGTTATATATGGATGCTCCATTTACTACCATACCATACTTGCTAGGCTATATTATTTTAACCTTTTTTGCTTGGAACGTAAAGACAGTACCTGTTTCAAATCTCCTCCAAACAATATTGTTTTCCGCCCATTGGAACTTGTCATAGTACTCACTTAGTTAAGAAATTTATTTCCTGATCAAACCTATTTCATCTTTATTCCCAGGTTATTTTGTAAGAGTAGCCGTTGAGGTTATTTCACTTCATACCAAATATTGATTATATACAATAAATAAAAATTATAGGCCCTATTATATACAATTATATACAAAATTGATATACAATAAATCTCAAAATTTAAAATGTTAGTTAATTTACAAAGAAGGTGTAGAATAAATCTAGAACATGTGTTTTGAAATATAAACAAAGCAGAAGTTTTCCATCTTGAATCGTTAATTATTTAGTCAACGTGGTTATTTCATGTTAAACGTTAAAAATACACAAATTTGAAAAGTTTCACAGTAAAATAATTTACTTCAACATTCTATAACCCTAAAAAGTCTTAATTAATATAGGTACCCTTAACCCTGGTTTTATAGTATACAGTATGTTGCAGAATTGACTAGCAAATGGAGTAATCCAGATGTAATTTTGCATACTGGCTTAAAGATAAATCACGATCAAAAAAGTTTTGGAATTTCACTACCGGTATTTTTCCCGCCGTTACGGGATCGAGACCTTTAATTTGAGCCCTCTCCGGTCGTTCTACAACTTCCCAGTTGCCCACAATTTTGACGCAAAGAATCGGCTTACGTCATTAATATATAGTTGTGTCATAATTTAAAAAATCCGGTACAGCAGTAAAGCAGTATAAAAAAATTCAGGCTAAGAATCATGAAACAGTCTTGTTACCATCCATGGGGCAGGACTAAAATTGAAGTTTAAATTTTGATTTTAAAATAGCCACCTAAGTAATCATTCTCTAATTGTTATGGAATATGCTCAGGTTCATTGTTAATAAGTATGTGCAATATTTAATATAATACTAAAATTTGAAGGCTTTACTTTCAATGTCCTTTATTTTATTGTTATATTTAAAAGTTATTGCTAAAAGTAATATTTGTAATTGTAATTTATAACATTATAGATTCCGTGCTTGCAATACAGGTAGTAATAACGTTTAGTTTTTGAAATCCGAATAGAATTAATAATAAATAAAAAAACAGTATTTTCTACCACTTGTAGCTACGGGCCACCAGTTCTGGTTACGATAGTAATAATTCCCTGTGTTGGGAGGGAAACGCCACCGAGCGTCCTTACTCGATATAATGGGGGCGAAAAGCGACGAATTACCCACCCAGCCGTGGCGCGGGGATTTCTGAAGCGTCCGTCCGGGTGAAACACCATTTTGAGGGTGTCCGCGTCAAACACGTCCGGGCTAAACACGGAGCCCTTGAAAACACTCTTAATCAACAAGCACAGTTAAGGCGTGAGGCTCACAAGTCGAAGATACCGGGTTCAAGACCCGTCCCGGCCAAAAAATTGTATCTTGTTTTTTTTTCAAAATAAGTTTATATGAACTATTTAATCAATTTACTCAACTCATAATTATGCTTTTCATACAAAATCTTTATTATTTTGTGTTTTTTATGTTTATGCCCAATAGGATGGTTGGCCCTTCCGCAAAAATTGGTTGGTTGGCCAACCGTAAGACTGAGTGCCAAAACATACCGTTGGCCAACGATCGACAGAAACGTTGGGCCAACGATTTTTGCTACTTGGGCTAGGCCCGGGACCGATTTACTTTTTCATTTTGATGTCCCCAGAGGCCAAAAACACCGTTCCTTCAAATTTTTATATATGTATATATATATATATATATATATATATATATATATATATACTAGCTGTACCCGCGGGCTTTGCCCCGTTTAACTTCGTAAGTGAGCTCGTTCGCATGGCTCAATCACGTCCTGGTTGAAGTTCGTTCGCTACGCTCACTCACCTTTTGGCTGCAAATTAGCTGTTGTCATAAATGTAAAAGAAATAATAGTGCTGCACCCTGTTGGTAGAATCTAATCCTTGTAACTTAAATGCTAATGAACATAATAGAACAGAACCAACTTGTTTAATTGAAACAGCTGTTAAGATTCATTAATTCCATTTAAATATGAGTGATAGGTTAACATGGGAAACTCCAGAGCCACTGGGGCGGAGCCCAAGAGTCCGATCAGAATAAAAACAGCTTAGTTTTCCTATTTAATGCCTAAAGAATCAGTGTACCAAATTTCAGCCTCCTAGGTAAATGGGAAGTAAGAGAATTAGTGATGAGTGAGTGAGTGAGTCAGTCAGTGAGTCAGTGAGGGCTTTGCCTTTTATATATATAGCTAAATAGATTTATATATATATACACGTCCGTGAACGCGATAACTTGAGTAATTTTTGTACGATTTTGATGAAATTTTGTTTAAAGGTGTAAGGCGGGATGAACTTGAATGAGTTCGCGAACCAGCATGATCGGACCATGGGAACGGGGTTTTACGGGGGCTTTTTTGGGGTAAAAAATGGTTTTTCTAATTTTTGACCCTCAAAACACAAAATTTCCCAATTCCTCTCTAAAACTTTTTAAAGAGCTTAAAAAAACAAATAATTTAGTATATCAAAGTGTTTTTGTACGGTAATTGGTAATAGAGAAAATTAAAAAAATTGTAAATTTAAAATTCCTATGTTATACTTATGGAGAATATTGTAAAATGTTGTAATTTGCTTGTTTATGGATATATTTTTATCTAACTTGGCAAATTTATTTATTTTATACTAAGCTATTAATATTTTACTTAAAAATAGGCCTACACTTTATTATTTTCCTTGTAGCAGCAAACCTAGGTACTCATTAAACGTACTGTTATTTAAATAGATTTAATTGATAATCTATTCAGGCAAATGGAAATTCGCTTAGTCAGCAGGTTTGCTGCGGCGGGGGTATTTCATTATCAGCAAGTTTGGTTAGGTTAGTTATACCATTGACTATGAATCCTTAAGGATTCATACTTAAGGATTCATAGTCAATGGTTATACGCTGAATTTTTATTTCAGGATTAGTGTTGCCTACAGTATTATTTTGAGGCTTTTGATTGGCTGAGGGAACATCATTACCGCGACGATACGGTTAATGCCATCGGCCTCGGTGGTGTAGTGGATAGAGTGCTGGGCTGATGATCCGGAAGACACGGGTTCGAATCCCGCCCGTAGCACTATTTTTTTGTATTGGATTTTTTTCTTTATCAACAAGTTTGGTTGGTTTGGTTAGGTTATGACGGTTTAATTTTATAATTAAAACATTATGAAATTGAATTTGACCCATTTATAGTTTTATTTTATGAACAGATTTTTTTTCAGTTAAACCTTAATTTGATTTTTCATTATAAGCAAGTCTGGTTAGTTTGGTTAGGTTATGATGGTTTAATTTTAGAATAAAAAAATTATAAAATAGGATTTGAGGCATTTATAATTTCATTTTATGAACACAACTATTTTTTCGGTTAGTAAACCTTCATTAGATTTTTTCATTGTCAGCACGTTTGGTTGGTTTGGTTAGGTTATGACGATTTAATTTCACAATTAAAAAATATAAAATTGAATTTGAGGCATTTATAATTTTATTCTATGAACAAAACTAATTTTTCAATTAGTAAACCTTCATTATAGTCAATCAGAAGCCTCTAAATGACACTGTTAATCCTGAGGCAAAATTAATCCTGAAAAACAAATTGTGCATGCGGTAGTGGTGGGTGTTCTGATCCACGATCCTCGGAGTTGCACTGGCTAGTGGCTGCCTAGACGCTTGTTTACTCTTTTGTTCTTCTCTTCCTTCACTTTGGTTTACTCGTTTACTGTTTACTGTACTACTCATTCACTCATTCTACACAACACAAAGTTGTAAGTGGTTTGTTATCTTATCACTTTATCGTTTATTATCACCAATGGTAATGAAGCTTTAAGTCTTAACCTCTAATCTCTTCTCAGCTTAACTTACTACTTAGACGATACAACAAAATTTAACAACACTAATTCTAACAAAATTGTAGGTATATAAGTTATTGTTTAAAATTTTTAAGCTAATTCAGTAACAGTTCTTTTTACCCTTACAGTACAATATTTTGGTTAAAATCTAGAATCTAATCTACCTTAGTAAGTTATAACAGTAACTTAGGATATTCCTTTAATTTCACGCCTTCACCTTTGTGTGTAAATTATTGATAACTGCTCTTCATTGATTTTTATTTTTATCGATCTCTAGCCTACATCAGTTATTCTCGTGGTTATTCTTGATGTATTTGGCAAATTCTATAGTTGTCATATAGGGTTGTTAGGCTAGGCAAATTTTTTACAAATTTCCGTGAAACTTTCTTGCTGCAATTTAACCTAAGTTATATTTTTCACATTTTGGACCTTATTCTAAAAAATTTAAAAACAAACAATTAGTTAACTGAGAACTCACATTTTAGTGGTCGATAATCGACCAACACCAGACCTAGGGTTTTTTGACTCACATTTTAGTGGTCGATAATCGACCAACACCAGACCTAGGGTTTTTTGTTTCTAGCTATTTCATTATTTAATTGTTAAGCTAATATTGATTGTTGCTTCTAGTTAGCTGGAAAGCTTGAGGCAAATTTAGAATTTGAGGTTTTTTTCTTTAGCCCTCGAGCGGGGGCTTGTGGAGTTTTCCTCCGCACTTGTAGTTTTTGTAAAAATAAATAAATATGCATAATGGGTGTCGGCAGTCTTGTCCGGCTCCATACTTTCACACACCTCATCCTGGGAATACCCCTAAGCGATTTCTACCCCCAAATTCCTCCCTATTTGGTTTTCAGTTGCATTTCAGTGACACGGTGTCAGTTTGCTGAGATTTTCTGCACGTGCTTAGCACAGAGTTTATTTCATAGTGCGCTCTTCTGTGTTAGAGGTGACTATTTTAGTTGTGTCTGTAAGTGAAGTATCTATTTGGTGTTTCTGTTTTATATTAGACTGATACCACTATGGATTTATTAGAATAGGCTGAAAAATTATGAGGAGTGCTTGATAGTGTCGAAAGGGAAGAAAGAATAGAAGAAATACAACCAAAACGAGATTTTGATTAGGGCATTACTCATTTTTAGTTGGGACAGAAATCTAGTTTTCAATTTTCATTTTATATATACTTCAACTTATATTACGGTACGTTTCATTTTCAGCGAATTTCCCCTATAGGGAATAGGCTATTACCGTAGTACTCATTGTAAGACCTAGACCCGGGACCGATTTACTTTTTCGTTTTGAGGTCCCTAGAGACCAAAAACACCATCCATTCAAATTCATATATAGGTATACAACCATGTTGAAATTAAAGAAAATAACTACTGTTGATACAGGAAAGAATAATTGTATTTAGACATTTTGCTATGTTCACATCTACCTACAAACTCTATGTAGGCTATTCTATATATTTATATATATATATATAGCCTATTTATATATTTATATATGTGTCCGTTAGCGCGATAACTCGAGCAAAGATCATCCGATTTTGATGAAATTTGGTACAAACGTGTAAACCTACGTTTATTCGAACGAGTTCGCGAACCAGCATAATCGGACTATGGGAACAGAGGTTTATGGGGGGTTTTATGGGGCGAAAATTGGTTTTTCCCATTTTTGACCCTAAAAACTTAAAATTTAGCATTTTCTTTCCAAACCATTTTGTAGAGCTTAAAAAAACAAATAATTTAGTATATTGAAGCGTTATTATGCCCCTAATAATGGTTACAGGAAAAATTAAAAAAAAACTGTAAATTTAATATTCCCATGTTATTCTTATGGAGAATATTGTAAAATGTTGTAATTTGCTTGTTTATGATCATATTTTGATCAAATTTAGAAAATGCATTCATTTCATACTAAACTATTAGGCCTAACATTTTACAAAAAAACACCTTTTTACCCACCTTGTTGCAGCAAACCTAAGTACTTGTTAAACTAATGTTATTTAAATCTATATATATAAAAGGCAAAGCCCCCACTGACTGACTGACTGACTCACTCATCACTAATTCTCCCACTTCCCATTTACCTAGGAGGCTGAAATTTGGTACACTGATTCTTTAGGCATTAAATAGGAAAACTAAGTTGTTTTTATTCTGATCGGACTCTCGGGCTCCGCCCCAGTGGCTCTGGAGTTTCCCATGTTAATATGAGAACTCATATTTTAATGGAATTAATGAATCTTAACAGCTGTTTCAATTAAACAAGTTGGTTCTGTTCTATGATGTGCAATAGCATTAAAGATACGAGGATTACCAACAGGGTGCAGCACTATTTTTTTTTTTTTATTTATGACAACAGCTAATTTGCAACCAAAAGGTTAGTGAGCGTAGCGAACGAACTTCAACCTGGAGGCGAGTTAGCGTAGCGGACGAGCTAATCTCAAGGCAAGTGAGCGCAGCGAACGAGCTCCAACCTAAAGGTGAGTGAGCGTAGCGAACAAACTTTAACCAGGACGTGATTAAGCCATGCGAACGAGCTCACTTATGAAGTAAAACGGGGCAAAGCCCGCGGGTACAGCTAGTAGGGAATAAATGTGATATTTTTAAGGAGACCTTTTAGTGTAAATCCAATCAGGCAAATGGAAATTCGCTTAGTCTGCAGGTTTGCTGCGGCGGGGGTATTGTTAAATGTATAGTATCAATTTTTGAGTAAACATAACCAAACTTCACGATTGATGTTTTATTATTTATTTTTTTATTACACGTACAATTTTTCAAAATGTGTGTTATTTTATTCATACAAAAATGTTAACAAGTTTAAATTGTATTATTTAATTAATAATTATTATCAAACTAGCTGTTACTCACGGGCTTCACCCTGTTTTAATTCATAGGTATTAACAAAGATTACATATGCTACGCAAAATAGATATAGCACCTTACGGCAATTTTGTGCTAAGTCGTTTTTGGATGGGGCCACCTTCACGTAGTCGGGTGGTCCCTCAACAGAGGCGCTGTGTCAAGTCTCGATCTGCATTACCATTCAAGTTCGGGTGAGTTCGGCAATGTTCGCGTGCTCGGGATTAACTTGCCTGTACGCAACGTGCTCGCCAACCCGTCGGTCATCGTATCTCTAGTTTGAAAGCACACAGCTGTCAATGTACCATAACTGTATCTTTCTACAAAAATGGCAGTTATTTACTTCAAAATTAAAGTGACCACGTAACAAAGAGCTAAAGGATACTAAAGGTTTACTGATATAAACATGAATTAATAAAAATCTTCAAAAGTTGCAGTCACAGTGATATGATAACTCATAAGCTTACGATGTTATACTAGTTTCTCTGCATTGAATTTTAACGTACATTTAGAGAACACCTAACAATTTAGAAATTTATAATTCTTACAAGTTTTAATAATTAGTGACTGTTTGTAAGTTCGTCGACTTTTCTCACTTTTCTGCTTTCAAAATTTTTATACACAAAGTTTGCTTCCGGATTTCTAGACTCACGCAATATCTTGCTACTAACTCACGATGAGGAATGTATGGTTAGTCAACAACTACCTAACCATTCACTGGCTACTTGACCTTTTTAAACATAGTTTGTAGGAAGAACATTTATCTACACGATCAGTGTTTTTGTTTTCAAACTACGTATTATCTCATCACATTATTGGTGTTTTGTAAGTGCCGTTTGCAACTGAGCTTTGAAGAAAATGTAGAGCATAAGATATAAAATATAGATTTTAAATTTAGATCGTTGTATATAACAAATCTTTCAACTGACGACTTTATAAAATAAATTTAAGAACACATAGTCTTAACAACAGCAGAACCTTAGTTGTACATAAATTAAAGTGGTTATCTTTACCATGTAAACACGATATTTAGGTTGGAAACTGGAGGTCAGTCACACTCTCGCAATCACACGAAAGTGAACTGACCCGATTGACCCGACATCCCAATTGTGTATGGCCTGTTTTAAACATTATATTAAACAATAGGTCGAATACTTTGTACACTATAAACGTGAATGTAAAGCAGTGTTGGGAAGGCCTTTCCGTTTTTTGATTGCCGTTTGCCATTTATCACATACACTTGTCTTAATACCTGGTATTGGGTTCATGAAAATATCCACATCATAATACGATTGTAATTCACTACACATAATAGGTACTAACACTTCTTCACTCTTGCTAATCCATCTTCTAATAAACCTCGTGTTATTTACATTAAGCAACCACAAAATAAAGGTTAACCATAACAATAAACAACAACAAAAAATACATAAATAACAGCTGGTCATGTCGGCAATGAAGTCTTAGGTTGTGAAGACATTCGCTAGGCTTCGCATGGAAATTGCACAAAAATGGCTTGGCTGCAATATCTATTTTGCGTAGCATATGTAATCTTTGGTATAAAACTATATTGATTGGTAAAGTTTAGCTGAAATAAACAAAACAGAATACAGTAATTCAAACTTAATCACACCTGATTTTAATAAGGTAATGAATTGAAAAAATAACAAACAAATAAATTGTACAGCTGAGGTATAATTACGACCTTAAAGGGCAATTTATGAAATAATGGATAGTTTAGTACAAGGTTTCTCGTCTTGACGAACATTTGAAGTATATGGTTTATAGGGGAGTGACTTGTAGTTTTCTCAAAAGTTCATGGGTACTTTGGGATTCATACAAAAGATAAAAATATTAAGGCATTGCCATCCCTTTTATTGTTTATAATACTTGGTTAAAGGTTTTTACTTTTTATGTTTACATATTAAATAGTGGAGAATTTAAACGTTGTTGAGTGCACAGGTGTGCTACAATTGGGTTTTAATATTTTTGGACCTATCCAAAAGTAAAATAGTTCTCTGTGCTGCATTCTGTGGAAACAGTATGGCACGATTTCAAATTATGACTAATACAGCATGTTGTGATTATTCAAACCTACAAAACATTGTGTTTCGGAGTCCATAGACAACATACATCCGGTTTCGGAGGGGTACATTCATACATACTTCCTCTTTTATAGATATAGATATGTTTTGTTTGCATATATATGTATAATTGCATTAATGTGGAACAAAACTCCGCACACGCCCCATCTTGAAACACCGACAGTGATAGTCAAAGGTGATACCTTTAAATAAGTTACTGTATACTAGAAAATTACTCAAAATATGTTGATTTGAACTCATATTTAGTTGAACAGTTAATGTTACCTATTAATTATGAAATTTGGTTCCTAATTAAGTTATTCGACATTATACAATATGGCGTTATAACAACAAGTAAAATGGGTTAAATTTGTGCTATTTAGTGTTGCAGGATAAAAATCCGCATGCGCCCGCTCCTGTTTTACTGGTGAAGCGCCTGCTCGAGGGTTAACTAATATCCATTTTTTTCAGGTTGATTATTGAAGTTAACCAATGGATTCACAAAAATTTAACAATTTTTTGCATTTTTATTTGTTTGGTCCATATTATGTTTTGGAAGACAACCTTACAGCTAGAAGATGCAATTTCGGTAAGTTTTGTATATTTTCTTCAAAATATCATAGATACTTTTGGCCATATCAAAATATCATAGCCAATTCACCCTAACACTTAAGTTAAGTTAATTACCATTAAACTTTATACTCCTAATTTTATTAAAAATATATATAACTTATAAATAGAAAGTTTTAAAAAGCAATTTGGTATATTCTATATATTCTCTGTTGGAAGCAGGGTTGCCACCTTTGGTTCCCCCGGAGTAACATAGACATAAAGACTGGCATACTGGACCGAAGTCGGGACTGTCCCGACAGAATCGGGACGGGTTGTAAGACCAAAGGATTTTCTAAATTACAAAAAATTTTTATAAGTTAGGCCTACCTAACTTCCTACTTCTACTTAACTATATTATAATGGCACTTGGTTGAGCTAATATTGAGTTAGTTAATCTGAATTTATAAAATATAATTCCGATCCAAACACCATAATGCATAAGTTTTAACTTCTAAGTTAGAAAATCCTAATAACCTAGGCTCTTGTGCTCTGATGTTACATTCTTAACCTCTAACTTATACATTAGCTTGGAAACATGAGTCACATGCGGTTAGTAAGCGTTTTGTTGCTATTTTTTACCTCATTTAAAGTGACCAGACGTCCCGTTTTAATTGTGTGTTAATTGTTTGTGTGTGTTTGTTTGTTTGTTGTTTGTTTTGGTTGTCCCGACAAATCCTCTCGGGACGCTTATTTGTCCCGTTTTATCAACCTTTGGTCCCGGTTGCACTTTTATGTATGGAATATTTCTTAATAATTGCAATCAATTATGTTATTTGACACAAACTTAAAAATTCTTTACTTTTGGAGTTTAAAAATATGAAAGATTGTAATAATTTTGACCAAAGTTTTCTTCATAATTCGCTCGGTATAATACTGGATTGCAGCATGGACTGGATAGCATCGGCATCGACAGCATCCAGTGCCGTAATTTCACCAAATCCTTGAAAATTCTTGACGAAAATTGTCACTGAATAAAATATGATTTCATTGGTGTAAGCTGTTAAACTCGATTTATATAAGTTTTTTCCTACTCCATATTACAAAGTACAATTATAGCAGTTAAGATAGCCAAACCCTTTTACAGGGAAATAAAAAAGACAAAAAAATATTAATAGGCGTGAAGCTTTTTTTTATTGATATAATAGTTTTAATTGCTGAATTCCTGTCATTAAGTCTTATAAAACTCATTGAAGAACTCTTTTCTTCCTTAAAAAAGGCTGCAAAAGGGCTATTTACCACTCACAAATTTAATACCTAGATTGCCTTAAAACTTACTAAAATACATGACATTTACAAATTTTTCCGGACCCCCCTTCTGACATGGGGGGTATTACATACCCCCCAGGCCCCCCGGTTAGTGATGTCCCGTTTTGATAGTCCAGAAATATGGTCACCTTACCCATAGTAGGCTACTTCTCAATTCTTCTAAATCAATGTTATTTTAGTTAGCTGTGATAATTTTTTTCATCATTACCGGTTGGCCAGCACCTTTACTCTTCAGCCGCTTCAAATAAGGTGATACACTATTATAGCCTACTTCTACTTGTAGTCAATTAGGACTCATAGTTGATACTGGTTTTCTTTATTCACTGACATTCTGTACACATTTTTTGTGACAGAACTTGGTAATCATGAAGGCAAGATAGCTGTGATTACTGGAGGACATAGAGGAATTGGAGCTTTTGTCACCAGGGATTTACTTTCCGCTGGGTTTCACGTCATTTTGGGTAATGTACCTTCATCTTTCCACCCTTTAGAAAATTGAATCAACTGCCACACCTGATTTGTACTTAAATGTACTCAAACTGTACTTAAAGAATAAAATTATAGTTTGTATGATGGAACATGTCTCCTGTCTACCTGGCACGGGTCCAGACCCCAGCTAATTAACAAAACTACAAAATATTCACACCATTTTTAGGATGTAAATTCTTTACCTGGGCTATTACATTTTAACACAGGTAGATAGCAATAAAATGCCTTAAATATAAATATAAATCTCTAGTGGAACTGGATGGGTTTTTAAGATTGTAGTTTTATTTTAGATTATCTTACTATTTTATACCAGTAGTAAAATTATACCTTTTGAATTGTCTAACTGGTTTCTGATTAAAAGTGTGATATTTTTCACAGGCTGTAGAAGGACCGAGGATGGAAAGAAGTTTGCAAGTGATATTCGAAATCAAGGAATAACATGTGGAAGAGTCACAGTGAAAAGCCTCGATTTAAAATCACTATCTTCTGTAAGAAGCTTCGCTGAAGAAGTACTCAAGGAAACAACGTCTATAGACCTTCTTATAAACAATGGTACCGTATGATAAGACGTTCAATTATGACTTGTGTGGCTGACGTATTTTTACTTAAAAATTTAGAATGCAAGTTACAGCTTATTGCTTAAATAATCTTGCATTGGGCTTTGAAAGTAAAAACAAATGTATCAGCCAATTTTTTGTCATTTAACACATTTTTCCTATCCCCTCATTGTCATGACTATAGTTTTATTTTGCTTATTATCTCCCACCTTCACATTCTTACATTTTTACACTCACTACACCCGTATTCTCACTAACCTTTGTCGTTTCTTAGTTTTAAGAGTTTTACTATTTACCGCTTTTGACCAACGATTGAATTGTGTTTTGCTAGGAACAGTGTCGTGTGGAATAAAAAGCCGCTACTGGAAATCTCCTTGCCTAATCAGTAACTTGTTGTTGTTTTGGAATTACACACCCACTACAAACCTTATTGTTGTCAGGCCCAAACCATGTACGCTACTGAAATGGTTTGAGTACAAACCATGACAACAAGACCAAAAGTGTCCGCCCACAACCTACACAGCCAAAGTACTACACGTGAAACTGCTCAATCTGTGTTGCCAACAACCAAGCCACATATTTCTTACCAATACCATAATATCTAGTAGGCCTACAGCTTTCTGAGCTTTTTTTGCATTCTTCTCACACTGTTTTGGGACAACTATTTTGTTCATAAATTAATTGTCAATATTGTATTCCAAATAGGGATGGTCAAGTCTCGAAATTTCGGGAAATTTTCGGGAAATTGTCAATCTTGTTACACGAGACGAGATTTCTTTTTGGCCGAGATTTTTATCGAGACGTGAATAAAAAAAAAAATTTAAAAAAAATTAAAAACGCCTGCAGAAAGTCAATGCAATACCCGCAATACAGGAGCGTGTTGTAGTTGCGTTTCCTTTTCGAAGGCGTTCTTATTTAATTAATTCTTTTAATGTAAATATTACTTTAATTATTTTAATAATATTACTTTAATAACATTTGAGAAGTTTTGTTAAGTGTAAGCAGTGTGAGGAATCTTTTATTACTATAAAAAAGTCAAAACAAGTAACTATTTTATAAAAATTAATATTGCTTTTATTTTATGATTTATTTTATTTTAGGTTAAGTTGAACTCTATCCTAACTCATATCACCATGTTTCCTAATCGTAGGCATTTTTAATAAGTTAGGCGTGATTAATAAAAAAATATTATGCTGATGCTATTTAATAAAAGATTGTAAATATTCTTGCCTATTATCATTATTTTTGTATTTAAACAGTCATCTAACAATGTTACAAAATCAGGTAAAAATTTCAAACATGCATTTCCCGTTGTGTATGAGAAGAGAAATCTCGTCTCGATCTCGTCTCGAAATTTTATGAGAAATAAAAAATCTCGTCTCGTCTCGTCTCGAACTAAAAATCCAATCTCGTCCATCCCTAATTCCAAATAATTTAGTTTCTATTTCTATTTAAAGCAATTTACACAAACTACAAAATACACAAACACAAATTTTGCTGCACAATACTCTGTTCTTCCCCGTGTACAATCTGCCTAAGACTCAATAAATTAGTGAAAATAAAACATTTTTGTTCTTTCCTATAAACAATTCTAAGCATTAATCAAGCTGCAGTTATCCACAAATAAAAATATTTAAATTTGAAATTGTGTTTTCAGTAACTGTTAGGCCTATGTATTTTAAAATGTATATTTAATGTGTCAATTCCAGCTGGCATAATCTTGTCGGACTACGAGGAGACTGAGGATGGGTTTGAGGCTCAGTGGCAAGTTAACTACCTGTCTCACTTCCTGCTGTGTCACTTACTGCTGCCAATTCTGCATAACTCCGTCTCCCAGGACTGTATACCTCGGGTGGTTAATGTCTCATCATTGGAACACAAGACGCCCCTAAACATGGATTATGAGGATATAAATAACAAGTAGGTACATTAACTGCGTAGAAAAGGTTTTGGTTATGTTTATGTTTCATAGCCTACAGGTAAAAACATAGTGGAGCAGCGAGGCTAGCGTGTAGGTGAGAGTTTTCCCACCCCCGATGCTGGGGTTATTCACATGCACATAGTAGAGCAACGACGGTGGCGAGTCAGATTTGTGTATTGTAATACATAGACATATAACAAATTAAAAGAAATAATTAATACTGTATCAGAACAAATAAAAAAAATAGGACTGAGAAAATATGGATGAATAACAGAAAACATTGACTTATGTGGTCCAAAAAAGGACACAAAAGAACTTTTAAGAAGTTCTAACAAATTTGTTAATGTTAACTTATGCTTTTTTACAGAGACACCTACAACGGAATGACAGCTTACGGAAGATCTAAGTTGGCCCAGGTCATGTTTACGATCTATCTCAACAGCAAACTTTCATCTATTAAGTCATCCGTGGAAGTTGTAGCTGCTCATCCTGGAATTGTAAACACTGAAATATTTGATGGCTCTGTTTTGAAAACATATTTTCCTTTTGTTACACGATTATTTTTCAAGGTGAGGATAGGTTAAGACCATAAGCTATGTTTGAGTTAGTGTGATTTTACAATTTATTTATTAATCACTAGCAGAGTACCTGTCATTCGTACGGGGTTGGCATATAAGTATAAAATGCTTATTGCAGTTATACTCAAGCTTTGCGTTTTCAATGGGGGAGGACACAGTATGATAAAATTTGCTTCTTTAAATTTACGGTAGGCCTACCCTATAGTATTACACATCTACCATAGCCATAATGCTCTACAACTTCACCTAAACAATAGAGAAAAATAAATTATCAAAAATTCACAAATTATTTGAAATGAAATTAAAAACATAAACATAACTGTAAACCATCCTACTTTGACAGTTCTCATTGTGTATCACAGTTTTTTGTTGCTGCTTAGTTAAAGCTTTTTTTTAATTAGCTGTTTTCATAAATGCAAAAAAATATTGTGCTGCACCCTGTTAGTAAATCGTATAACTTTTTAATGCTTTTACATATCATAGAACCAACTTTTTAGTTAAAACAGCCGACTAAATCCTTTAATTCGCTTTCAACATGAATACTCATAAGGTTAAAATGGGGAACTACAGAGCCACTGGGGCGGAGCCCGAAAGGATTTTTAAGATAAGAATATGCCTATATGTTAATCGGGAATGTGAGCTATCATCATGCCAAATTTCAGCCGAATCCGTCCAGTAGTTAATGCGTGATTGAACTTCAAACAAACAAACACACAAACTTTCACATTTATAATATTAGTAAGAAGTAAGATTAACTGTACAATATGAATCATGTCACAATATGTTATGAATTTTCTTTTTTTACAACAATAAATCATTTAACTATTTTCCTTCTTAATGTAGGCCTATTTATCTTTTTAGATACTGTTATGTTGGTATTGTTATTTTATATTGTACTACAACTATAAAACTGCCAATATTTTTTAATCAATGAGGTTTATTTTCATCGGAAGAAAGGATTACTTTATGATCAGCTGTCTTGTATATTGTAGACTCCTGCACAAGGAGCCAAGCCGATTGTTTACACCAGTTTGTACGGCAGAGGCGGAGAGTACATCGGCAACTGCAGACCACAAACTCCTTCATGTCTTGCAAGAGACGTCACAGAACAATCAAGACTTTTTGAAGAGTCCAAGAAATCTTTAAACATTACGTTGTTTGCAGGCCAATTTTAATTTGGATACAAGTTATTAGGTTTTATATATTAGCAGCCATGTGCCATAGTGTATAAAATAATATTTATTAAGTAATATTTATCAGGTTGTATAAAACAGTGTCATATGGTAAATACAAAAAAAAAATTAAATTAAAGTAATATTTACCAGGTTATAAAACAGTGTCATATTGTTAACACTTTATTTTTAATAAAATTAATTTTTTTAACTTTGTGTCTCATTAAAATCCCCAATTTGAGCACGGGTCTCTTCGTATTAATCAATTTGGTTTAGATAGGTGTAGTGTTCCCTACAGTTGGTGAGATAACAAGAAATTACAAATAGGTCAAACAAATACACTCTTCAAATACTGGGCAGAAATACAAATACACTCTCAAATCAAGTCAAATCAAATCAAATCGTCTTTATTTCATATTGTACATAAATCAGTACATGGAATGGCGTCAAACTCTACACTCTACACAATTTTATTCAAAGGAGACTACAAAAACTGGCCTCTATCTACATTGACTATAACAGCTGTATGTCAGTAAAGACATAAGAAACTAAATGTCAAAAGCTGAACCTATTAGGTTAAGGAAATGTATTCCTCTTGAGTACTTTTAAATATAAATTTTAAAAATGGCATGTATTGAGCACTACATCAAGGATGCAAACAATCTATTTGATGATATTGTTCAACGACACAAGTAAGTGTTGCATTAAGTTTAAGTAATAAGTAGTAAATAAGTAAGAGTTGCAGTGGTATTAACAATTTAAACTAAATAATCGTATCATTTTTATTTAAATTTCCTACTGTATTTACTGACAAGTAGATTGACCAAGTATCTATCTATATATTAATAGGCAAGCATGTTTCTTTAAAACCTTATTTCTCAGCTTGTGTGCATCGCAGAGAAAATCTACGCATACTGTTAGAAAGATATTTGCCTGTAGATGTGCAGAATCCCTTTATAAATTAAAATAGGCTCAATAAGCACAAAAAATGAATTTGAAAGCTTCAAAAAATTAACAAGGGTCTTATGGGTTGCAATGATGGTAACGAAATAACAACAACATAGGTATAAACAGAAAATCCAAACAAATTCCAATCAAATGTTTTATTTACAGCGTGGGGTGAAAATAGAGAATTAGTCTGTACAGTTAGATTTTTTTAGCTTAAGGTGTGGTGGAATATTTTTGAAGATGGGCCTTTTTGGTTGTAGTGCGATCATGTGTTCATACGTGTCAAATTTTAATGTTAAATCAAATCCAACACACTGGTATTTATTCTTGGAATTGGTTTAAAATACACTTACTCTACTTTTATAAAATCACTTGGCCATTAGACAATATTGATACTGTGAAATAGAGACGTGATTCATAATTCCAAATTAAAATGAATAAAGTTGCTGTGATTGGGATCGTTTGGAAATCTCTTAGTCTAACATATAAAAATAGACCCACCTTTTAAGGGTTTCAAGTTGGGGACTAGAATTAAATACTCTTGACATGACGAGATAAGCCTTTATAGACTAACGTTTTGACCCATTTAAATTATAATTAATAGCTAAAATTGTATTGCTAATAGGCCTAATTCACTAATGCAATCAGATAAGTTGGCCAACCGAACAGGATAATGTTATACGATAGGCAAAGGAAGCAAGATTCGAGTTTGGTTTACAAATGCAGTATACCAAGTACTTGATGTTTTCTAATAAATTAAGACAAAATATACTAAATTAATTAACATGCCAGTCTATTTGTATTTATTCAACCTACAAATTTACATGTATGAACACATGTTTACACTCACTACAGCCAAAAAGGTTCATCCTCAAAGATATTCCACCATACCTTAACGGATTCTAGCTAAAAAATTCTTCATTACATATTTTTGGTCGAGTTTTCGACCACTGGATGACCTCTTGTTTACTTTATTGTAAACAGGTATGCGCTATTCAAGAGTACATTTCCTTTATGTCTTCCCTTAACACATTAGTTATTTACCATATTAATGAATTAGTTGTAAGCCTCTGAATTGCCGAATAATATTTGAAAAGGTTTGATACCCGGTCCATAATCCATATAATTGCAAAAACAACTGCACTAGTTTCAGCTCCTATATGGAGCCATCAACCATCACGAAGGTCATCAAATTTTAAACACTTGATAAACATTTAAAAACAACACACACAAATGGATAAATGTACTCAAACTCCACTGAGTTAGCTTTTTATGTTATCAACTGATCAAACAGTAATATTGTATTAACCCATTGGCGCCGACTTACGAGTGACGCTCGTGCCACAGCTACGTGCAGCACCATTAGTTATTTTATTATTATTATAATTTCCCCCCTTTTTGTTTTTTCTTACTTTTATTATGTATGTGAAATTATAATGTGAGAAAATTGCATAATACCACCTATTTTGTTCGCTAAAAATTAAAGTGGTTACAAATTTTGAAATATAATTTAGAAGATAATTTTATTTGAGCCATAAGCCAAGATCAATTTCCGAATAAATTAAGGAAATGCGTAATAATCCTCACATAACTTTTTTTCATTCTTAACTGTGGAAAGACTGTAGAGGTATTTGTAAATTTAATGGGGTTTCCTTATATAAAAACCTCCTTAGGATTGCCCAGGCCAATGTCTTTAAAGACTATCAAGCTGCAAGAACCATCCAGAAGTGTTACCGTGGTTACCTTGTGAGGAAACATCTGAAATATTTACACAGCTGTGCCACAACAATACAGAAGTATTGGCGGGGTCATGTGGATCGGAAGGGTTATGAGCGGCTTTTAAAGGTAATTACTATAAGAAGAACTTTGAGCAAATTTCCCTATTTTTACATTATACTGATGTGGCAAGAATACCAAGTACAGAGTATTTTTAAACTGTGGGTTTAATTTAATGATTGTAGCAAAAATATCCTGTAAAAATTTAAAACTTGACAGCTCAAGTGATTTTTTTTTAATTTAAAGAGGTTGGCAGCTTCTTTTAACATTGCATTTGCCAGTACTCATTAAAACATATTTAACTTTAAAAACTAATAAATGATTCTTTAAAATGTTAGAACAAAACTGAATTTAGTAATCATAGAAAAATACACAAAATGTAAACATTAACATTTCACAGATGATTCAGATAATTGTTTATAAAAGCCAGGTAATGGGAATATATTACACTCATAGACTACAGATCTGTGTGTGGAATGTATCCTATCCAGCAAAGCAAGGGGTGAGCAGGTACAGTATGAAGGTGAACTGTACTGATAAAATGTTTGTGGCAGTGAACAGGATCCGAACCCAGGACATCACTGCCTTGGGCCCGAAGTCTGTGACGCTACCAACTGAGCCACCGACTCACCCTACAACCCCCAAAGACATAACGAAATTAATCGTCCGTTAATAATTTTTTTTAATTTGGTCGCATTTACAATGACTTGATTATGTACGATTATACACGATCGATTAGTACGATTATGACTGTCTAAGTTGTCTATAAATGATCCAACTTTACTACAGTAGTAAAGGTAAAGTTAATCATGGTTTAAAACACTTTTACTACACATAAAAAGGCTGACCAAGAGACTAATCGTAATTAAAACATTCATACATTTATTTCATAGAGTTATGTATTGAATACAGTTAGAACCTGAAATGTATGATGAAATATCCTGTTAGCGTCACTGATAAATACTGAATATTAGACAACTAATAAGACACATTACTTAGCCTGCCATAAAAATTAAAATAAAAATTGTTTCATTCTCACTGAGGAAAGCCCTCAAAAAAGCAGTTTATGAAAACAACTTTTTATAACCTCCCGCTCTACAAAATACTTCTAAAAGTGTTTGTATTCATGTTGGAAGGAATCTGTTCACAAACTGTACTGGGAGCATTATAACAACATGGCAACAAAGATCCAGAAAGTGTGGAGAGGCCATTTTATTAGGACTCGGGTATTCAGCTACAACCAGCTCAAAGACTATATCAAAGGAGCGCTACAAATGAACAAGGAATTTATGGAAAAGGCAAAGGTTAGTTATACAATTATGAGTGTACCATACTACTTAAGTACAAGTGAGACCATACTTTACGAAATCCAAGCCTTGAATCTGTATATCTTGTTCTTCCAACTACACAATAATTAATTTATTTGAGATTTAATACCTTTTTAAAATTAAATTGTTTTAAGGGAAAAACATTATGATAAGAGATTTCTTAATATCAAATTGGAAGCTAAAGTTATTGTGAAGAATTGCGCAAGAGCCGCCCGTAAAAAAAACCTCTTTCCCAAGTATTTAATTTGGAGATACACAATATGCTATTTTAAAATCTTGGGGTCTATAATTGATTATTTCTGATTACTGAAAATTATTCACTAAGCTCTATTTTTGGTTAAATTTTCTTTTCTTTGATTCATTCCCAGTTTTGGAGAGAGGAGGAAATCATATACCTTATATTGAACATTTCCAATCAATTCTGAATCTAACCTAGGATTTTGTGCGAACTGGACTCAAGTTATGTTTGGATTTAGATATACAGGGTGAATCATATAAAGTGTCCAGTATTGATTTCAGACAAATCGTTGGTCCTGCAATAATGAGATAAAAATTTTCCTTCTAAACCAAACCAATCCCAAGTTATAACCAGATCATATTTTGAATGTTTTTTTAGATACAGTTGTTTCAAAAAATGAGGTTCACTAAGTACAAATCTCAAAATTCTCAAGCTTAATACACAAATTTTGGTGCATAGGCCTATAGAATTTGGTTATTATCATTTGTTTCAAATTGGCAGCTTATTTTGCAAAAAAATGTATATAAAATATAAACACAAATAGTTTGCCAAATGTCAAATATTCAGGATTCGGCAAATGCCGCATTATGCAGACCTGCCATTACTCTGACAATATGTTCTCAGTATGGGTTATATACTCTGTATATTATATCTGAGAAGCTGAGTGGATATAGCGCTCGCCTTGTAATCAGAAGGTTGCAGGTTCGATCCTGAGAAAAAGTCAAAATATTTTTAATGGTTCAAAACTGGACCCAGCTGTCCTTGATATTTTGATGGATGATCCTGGTTTAAGAACCAGCTGATCTTAATCAGTAACAAAGCTGTCATCTTATTCATTCATCCTCATCATTCATCATTCATTCACTCGTCCTCATATTAATAGACATAGGCCTACTCTGATGTGTCTTTGTAGTAGAATTCAAATAATGTAATCTAATAATCCATGAAGGAGTATGAGGAGATGACAAAGACGATGATACAAAGAGACATGGACAAGGAATGTCAGGATAAGTTTGACTATCTTAGCCGCAGAGTGCATCATTTGTTGAGAACCTACCAGATAGAGGGTATTTTCAGCATTCACGGAACTAAGTGAGTATCACATAGTTGGGCCCAACTTATGTAACACATTTTCAACATGATAAAATACATATAATTTACTGTAAGATATTTTTTAATGAAAAAAAATACAAAACAAATTCAGAAGGATAGATCAGCTAGCTTACCTGGTAGATAGCGTCCAGATTAGCTTTGGTAACACACACATAACACAATTTTAACACTAAACAGTAAAACTGCACTGTTAGGGACTAAGTTACACCAGAAGGGAGAAGAAAGAAGACTGCTTCTAAAACAAATTCACAGTGGTTTGTTATGTGAATGATAAGATAGGCTAATAATATTGTATTAAATATGTGTCATGTTCACCGTCAAATAAGATCTATGTTATCGGTTTTGATTTTGGTCCTTTTGAAATTTACTTGTCTGGATTCACAACGCTCAACAGTATTTTTCCAAGTCCAACAATCAAGTAACAAAGGGTGTTACATGTTTCTTCAGAATTTCATTCCCCTACTAAGCTATACTTGAACTGATTTATTATACCTCCAGGGATGATAAGACTGTGAATCCCACCAAAGTTCATACAATTCTGATCGTTTACGATTCTGCTGACAGTTATTTTAAATCCATATAAGTTTTCTTCAATGTTTAGTCCATTAAAATAAAAGGGTATGCAATCCACGGCTAATAAATTTGAAATGTTTTTGGTCTATAAGTAATTAATGGTAATTTAACACACTCATCTCACAGGGATGAGTAAAGGTCAATTATTGTCTACACTAAAAATTGTCTGCTTATATTCTGTCAAATTATTTGTAAAATTTTTAAGATCGTTAAATACTTAGTCTGGCCTAAAATAAAACTATAATCAGTATGAACCCACATAGTTTCATCCAAATTATTTTGGTGCACGAGATGTTAGTTGCTGGATTTAATTACAGTTGAATTGTTAATCAAAGTACTGTATAAATAGGTTTTTCCTACAGTCACCCGACAAAGTTGGCTTCCTTGTACTGTTTATAGTACAAAAGGCTGCTAATTGCTGCATATGTATACTTTGTCTTACGGTTTATACTTTGTCGTACGGTTTATACTTTGTCGTACGGTTTATACTTTGTCGTACGGTTTATACTTTGTCGTACAGTTTATACTTTGTCGTACGGTTTATACTTTGTCGTACGGTTTATACTTTGTCGTATGGTTTATACTTTGTCGTACGGTTTATACTTTGGCGCACATCAGGATTCCAACGAAACAACACAAAACAGTGTGGTTCTATTATGCACGTAATCCGTGTACGCTTGGAAATAGGTTGGCAACACTCAAAGATAATAAAACTATGAGTAGCTGATTGAATATTATAACTACGATTTAACCTGTCATTTCGTGTTTATAGTTTATGTTCTCTTTTCGGTATTTCTGAACTTTCTGGACTTTTCTTTTAAACGTTTTTAAAACATTCCTACGATCTTAATAAACAAGAAAATACCTTTAAAGCATTTTTTTAGGCGCGGAAACAACTACAAATTACAAAAATATACGGAACTATATTCTCAAGTCGCGGAGCACATTGCTTGCCGAGGAAAAAATAGCGGAGTGATACGGACCGCGGACTACTTTCTCTAGGGCACCTATTTGTTTTGCCAGCTGAACCTAAAAACGTGTTGTATAGTGTTTGAAAGACTAATTATTTATATGCTTTATAGTGACTGTAGGAAAAACATAATGTGTAACACGAGTGCAAAAGGCCTTTGCTGCACTCGAGATCATTCGTAAGTGCAGTAAACGTTGCTCTCGTGTGCAGCAAAGTGCCACTTTGCTCACTAGTTACACAAATAACTATTTTAGGATTGCTGTTAACAATGTTGATTGTAGAACCCTACTGTATCTTTTGTTTTCTTTTGTTTTGATAGGTTAAATTTGATGGTTGAACGAGTATTTACTACTCCATGGTTTGATTTCAGGGAACTTTCCTACTTAGAGAAAGTATTGACAAATGTAAAATTTGTAGACTTCATGAAAACAAAACGTTTAGAAGCTGAACAAAAAAAGCCTAAAAATCCGGAAGCAACAATTTTTAAGGTAATGTTGTATTTAACTTAAGGGTCGATTGTTTTAAAAACCATAAAGTATATGTTTATGAACTAAACAAAAATGTCTTCTTGGATGTTTAGCCAAGACAATACTCACAAAATTATTTCCTCAAACACAGTAACACACTTCTGCTATATCTCAAAACTAAAAACACACAACTCCTATTCTTAATTTATTTTGATTTTCCAAATTGTTTACGTTTGCATAGAGAAAGCTAATAAAAACATAACAGTAGTTCCTTAATGGACTTAGTTTAATAATGAACTTTGAAAATGTACTTTTTTAATTAATGAAATAATATATCTATATTCCACCGACATAAAAAACCAAACACGTTAGACAAAAATATAAATTAATTATAATGACTTATCAAAACCAATTTATACATGTTTAGTGTTAAATCTCTGATATAAGCTGACATGAGCTTGAGGCCTGTGTGTTGGCTTTTCCTTGATTTTTAGTGTTTCATTCTTAGTAGAGACTAACACTATTGTGTGATACAGGGAAGACTAAGGGAATGTGAGGAGGTTTGGCTACACCGCAATGACCCTGGGAAATACAGCCTGGCCACTGGTGAGTACCGGGACGATGAGAGAGTTCACGAGCAGCGAGAGAAGATCCACAGCAAACTGAGGACAATCCAGGACCACCCGTGAGTACTGCTGTAGAACACTTTCACTAGCAGGAACTGTGCAAGTTCTTGGAGCTTTGGCGAAAATAACTTTAGAAAGTAGATTTTTAAAAATAACTTAACAGCCCTTTATAGTAAGTTTATTTTATACATACAGAAAAAATATACTTTTATTTAATATTGACAAATTTGAATGGGCCATTGAGTATAGATGATTTTTTGAAGTATTAGATGTCAAGTAAAATTTTAAAAACACAAAATTCTTTATTAAGCTAAAAATCTTGAAAACTGAACACAACTATAGGATTACGTCCTCTCCGTAGTTACTGACTTATACATATACCTATCTAGTTGTGCAAAGTTTGAATTTTCTAACCAATTTGGTTAAAAAGATAATAAGACAAAGAGGTGTCCAGACTTTTTAAACGCCCGGTATACGTATATTAACATATTGAAGACTGAGGCTGTAATAAAAATTAATCTAAAGCAAAATCATGGTTGGACATGCTGGATGACACAACAATATATTAGTAAACTATTCTTTCCCTCCTGATGAACATGTTATCTTTTAAATTTATGTTTATCTTACGATACTCTAAAATAAGAGCTTTTTTAGTACACAATTGTAACCAGGCATGAAACACACTTCAGAACAGGTTTAAGATTTGACAACATGATTAGATTAGAAGTCTATTGGCGGACATCAAAGTCAATGTCAATTCTAAGGATCAGTTATACACCCAACATTTTCCTCGTAGTAAATTAATGTGTGATTTGTTTGTGTGTTTATCTAAATATATAAAAGGCAAAGCCCTCACTGACTCATCACTAATTCTCCCACTTCCCATTTACCTAGGAGGCTGAAATTCGGTACACTGATTCTTTGGGCATTAAATAGGAAAACTAAGTAGTTTTTATTCTGATCGGACTCTCGGGCTCCGCCCCAGTGGCTCTGGAGTTTCCCATGTTAACCTTATGATTTTTCACAGCTGTTTCAATTAAACCAGTTGGTTCTGTTCTATGATGTTCAATAGCATTAAAGTTACAAGGATTACCAACAGGGTGCAGCACTATATTTTTTTTAAATTTATGACAACAGCTAATTTGCAACCAAAAGGTGAGTGAGCGTAGCGAACGAACTTCAACCTGAAGGCAAGTGAGCGCAGCGAACGAGCTCCAACCTAAAGGTGAGTGAGCGTAGCGAACGAACTTCAACCAGAACATGATTGAGGCATGCGAATACTACTTATAAAGTTAAACGGGGCAAAGCATGCGGGTACAGCTAGTAATTTATTTACAAGCACAAAATGTAATTATGTTTCAGTATGCAGTTTGGACCAGTCAGACATAAGGATGCAAACATTAAACTGGACAACAAATCTTACCAATGCCCCCCTCTTCATCAGTCTCAAAAAAACTTTAAAGACTAAATACTCTAAAAAATGTAATTAATTTGGAATTAAATACTTTTTTTGTATTTGGAACGTATTAATTGTTGTTTTACTCTTTAACAAAATGAAAATTTTGTTTTTAATATTCTTCTTACGCTTTTATTTTTGCATATTTTAGTCATCGGCAAATCTGTACATGTCCAGACTCTTTGCTACTGTAGGCATGGTTAACAAAACAAATTCTAGTTAGAATGGAATTTATTTATCTTGGACGGTAGCCTACTGTTACATAGCAATCTTAACAATTAAATAGTTTAAAAAAATATACTAACTACTAAACTGCCAACTTACTTTAATATCACAGTATAAAAATAACATATTACAGCTTATAACAAATAAATAACCTACATGCAAAAACAATAACAGTATAAATTATTAGATATTTTTTTTCTTACACAGCAGCCTCATCTTTGGAATCTATTAAAATAAGTACAGTACCTAGGATATATAAAATTAATACATAGAAAACCCATTTATAGATTGAACCAGGAATTAAAATGGCAATAAAGAATATGATTTTTGATTTTGATTTTCTATTTGAGTACTAAACTAATTTTGATTGGTTGCAAAGATGTAGGTACAATTCTTTTAAAGATGTAACAATCAGTTGAGTGTTATCAAAGATATATAACCAGAATTAACAGCCAAAACCTTCTATCTAAAGAAAGCAATAATATAAAGAACACCTATTTAATTTTTTTGCAATATATTAATAATAGTTTTCTTAAGAATTTTTAAGGTTTTGGATTAGGTATGAATACTTAAAATTTCTATAGAATTACAGTAGTACAGTTAGTAGTTTCTCTAAATTGTATCTCTTGTTAGTTTACATAATGCGTTATTTTTAGATTTCTCCACATAAGTATTTTTAATTATTAGTTAATGAGGGGAGAGCCAAGTATGAGCCTAATCGATTAAAATGTTCTCGACTTTTTTCAAGTCTCAAAAAAAAGGTATTAGAGTACCATATCCGTCTATGGACAATGCCAACACTTTTGACTTGTAGTGGAAGTTTAAAAAATATTTGAGTTGGGTCACATAATTTCTGCTGGCATATTGTGTGGATGAGCCCCCACGTGTTATTTCATGCTCTTTACTTATTCAACAGATAGGCTACAATAAATGTTATTTTCAAGGCAAACATACAATTGCAAAGGTATTTGTGAAAACAAGAGGTACAGTGGTCTTAGTGCTATTTAGAATATTTTGAATGCTGAGGTAGCAAAGATTGAAAGATTTAGAAGTTAACATATCCTATAGGCCTACTCGTGTTGGTATTTTCATTTTTCATTTTCACATGATAAAGAAATACATAGCTTGGAACTCGCAAATAAGAATATCCATTGATCAACTAAATTCATCCAAGAAAATCTGCATTATTAAAGATCTTAAACACCTTTTAAGGCTAAAACGATAACAATGATATTCACATTTTGATTTTACGTTTTATACGCACGGTGATTTAAACAAGATTTGTTATACAAAATACTTACTTGAACCCCTCGCACTTTGTAAAAACGCCCAGACTTTTAAAGACAGATTAAAATGTGATTCCACTTGAATTAGAACTAAGAAAATGTAGGTTAGCTTTTAGTAAAAAACGATACAATGGTTCTCAACTTTTTCGGTGCAACTATATCTTTCTTGCTAGGTCTTCCCCGCTTTTTCTTTTCACTAGCCACTACTGGTTTGAGGGTTTTTGTTTCTTTAGAAGCTGTCCTGTTATTCTGAGGCTGTTTGTTCCACTGCTCTTGCAACTCCAAGGCCACATGGTGGTCTAAATGTTCCTGCAGTTCATAGATGGATATTTGTTGTTTGCAGTATGAACATTCCTCACTCGCCGATGTTTGTTGGTCAGCTCGGTCAAACATATCTGGAGAAGTTTGGAACACACTCTCTGACTCAATCAAATCCTCTTCTGACCCATCTGTTTGTTTTTTAACCTGAATTACACACTTGGACGTAGTAGTGGGAACGTTTGGCATTGCACTAGATGGATGAATGTCAACTACAGTTTCTACGATTGTCGGAGCACAGTCGGATTCTGTGGAATAGCGAGAGCAGCTGCTTTTAACATTACATGTTGAAGACGAGGTGTTTTTTATTTCTTTCATTTTGCTGATTTTACGTTGCAAAGGAGATGGGAGGATTCCCATGATGCTGTCGTCTATATTTTCAAGGTCGGGAAATATTTCTGAAGGGCTGATCCAGCTTTCTTCACTTTTTACTGTGGGTTCTTTGACTTGAGATTTGAATGGGTCTTTTTGATTAATGTGCTTGGATTCCACAATAGTTGGAACATGATTAATTATTACCTTCTCCACACTTTTACTAGGGTCATCGATTTTATTGTTTCTATCTTCTGAAACATTTCCTTCTCTAGGACTACATTTTACTATTTTGTTCGGTTGGTTCTTAAAATATCTTTCAAAGAAGGATGTTTTTCCACCCTGTTCATCATCTTTGGTTGTCTCTTTAGTATTTGAATCACATTTACCACTCACATCATCATTTACCAGAGGAGGGTCAGCTTTAGAGGACGTTACTTCTGCATCAATCAATTTACTGGTTGAAGGTTTGACTTTGAAAAAATTATCTATTGACCCAACAGAATTTCCTGAGTAGTCTGTGAATTTTCCAGCAGATAACCCCAAGTACTTCAGGGGAGGATGCCTACAAAGAAATTTGCAAATAATTGATCAGCTATGAAAAGGAAACCAAACAAAGAGACAAACTGGAATTAAATTCATGCATTCCCTCCCCGGAAGTATTAGAAACAAAGGTAGCGTAAATAAATTCAAAAATAAACTTAAGGGGTTTTTAATTGATAGTGAATTTTAGATTAGTTTAGATAATTTTGTACACTGTAGCAAAAAAACTGTATGACTAAGTAGGGAAGTAGGTTAAATTATGTGAAGTAGTTTTAGGTTGATGACACATTCATGTACACTTGTTTTGTATGTATTGAATAAAGATTTATTGATTGATTGATTGATAATATATCCATGACTGAGCACCATGCCTTAGGAATACTAAAAACCTGCCAAAATCATTTAGATTAAAAAAAAAATCTGTAACTTTGTTTCTGATAAAAGATACTTTCTTGCAAGGCATATTTCATGAATTTTATGGAAATATTTGTAACAAATAATGATTAAAATGAACTTTCTGAACTAGCTAAGCTAAGACTATCTGGACAAGAGGAGATAGTATATGAAGGACGGAGCCAATTCACATTATGCTCATCTGATTAAATGTTTGTACGGTAGATATTTGATGATTTGAAATTGGAGAGTCAAGCAAATAAATTTGGAATATCATAAGGTTTGACTTATTGGAAGAAAAATAAATCATTCAAATGACAAAGAGTGCATTTTTTACTATGTAAGATCCCTTTTGTAATTGGGTACGATGCCTAGGTCAAGCAAATGCAACTTTAATGTTGTGTTTGAGGGATAAATTTGAAATTTCACATTTGACAAATGAGGAGCGTTGGACCGAACAATTGTCAAGGAACAAGATAGTCTTATGATTTTGTGTCTTCCATATCCTTGATTTTATGATTCAATCAACTTATTGAACAAATCAGTTGTCATTATTTTACCGATAATTTAGATAAAATGTTTGAATGCCTACTAAACACCTGGCTTTGCAGCTTTTCCAATAAGCAAACACTGCTAACCAGACGATTCAATTACACTAACTAAACACCAAAGCTACTGTGCCTAACAGGATGTATAGTTTCCTGGACAACTGTATACAGTTCTGACGACGAAACTTTGAATTACTACGAGTTCCATATCAGCCTGCACTCTACTTGGAATTGAAATATTAAGTATCAAAATGCATGGTAATACTCAGAAATATCAAGAGTTTCTCGAAGACTAGGCTTTTATTTTGAATGATCAAATGTTGGAAATACCAAGACTGTACTTGTATAAATGCTTCAACTAACAATTAAATTTTAACTCACCAAGCATCAGAAGTAGGGTTGGCACAGTTGTGTTTGCTGAGAACCCTGAAGGCACAGCCAGCAATCCTCTCACTTTCATAACCAGGGAACGCAACTGAGCGAGACATTGCCACATCTCTGCCGTCAACCTCTTGGCTGAAGTGAATAGTCAACAGTTGAGCTTTTCGCTTGTTCTGACAACAAATATGTTTTCAAAGTCATTTTTTCCAAATCAACAATGATAGTTAGGAATAATTTACTGAAGGAGAAATGAGATTTTATACACTTATAACAATTAAATTTGTGTGTCTATAGTGCACTAAACATGATTATACAGTAGACTCTTTTTTATTACGAGACCCTGTACAAGAACTAAGCAGCTGAGCAGATACATTACTGAGTAAAATCTCTCCTTTTTTTAATGACATATCTATATATTAATAAGCACGCAGCTCGTGTACATCGCAGGGAAAATCTACGCATATTGTTAGAAAGATATTTTCCTGTAGATGTGCAGAATCCCTTTATTTTTTAACCCTCCGAGTGTTATTTGTCGCTGCAGCGACACATAACACACTTTGTGTTTTGTTTAGTGTCGCTACAGCGACACACAAACACTATTTACGGCAAAGGTTCTATGACTGACTGAATCGGATTGAACTGGATCGAGTTAGGTATCGTTCTTTTCGTTAGATTCTAAGCTTTCTCCAGAGGTCTGTCTCAGCGCTGTATGTTCTCCGAGCCGATCGTAATTGTAGCAGACAGCTGACGTGCGTATTTGTAAACAGCTTGGTTATAACCTCGCACCGATGACTGATGTGTTTTATTACGTTTATCATTGTTTTAGTGTTAAAAATCAAAAGTAGTGATATACGTGGTGCATTATAAGAAGATTTAAGTGATTTTGAAGGGCTGGTTGATGATCCTGAAGAAGTAGGTAGTGATATTGATGTAAATTATCAGCCAGATTCCTAGCTATGGTTAGGCTATGCATTCTTAGCTAAACGCTATGTACTGAAATCTGTTTTTTGCCCATAACTTATTTATTTGCAAATCTACTTCCTTACATTATTATATATTTGTAATCCTCATAAAATTTAGAACAAAGTGGCTATTTTCAAATATTTATAAGCCTATAATTTATACAATTTCATTGAGCGTGAACTTATTTTTTTTTTTGAAAATTTTCCAAAATATTTTTTTTTACCTAAAAATTTTTTTTAACAAATGTTCCTTATGTTTTATATATAATATTGAAGCCCATGATTTTTCAAACAAAATGGTATATAGAACAGTATAATTAACATTGTTTTTAAGCTTCTCAGATCCGTTTTAATAAATCCTTGCAAATGAGCTAAAAATAGGCAGACATTAAGGCCAAAACAAGGGACACTTGGAGGGTTAACAGAAGAAATACATTTTAACCTTAAAATAAATTCTAATGACAATAAATCGGTAAAATTGCTAGGAATCCATATTGATCAGAAGCAGAATTGGAGTGAGCATACAATATTTTTATGTAGTAAATTGGCTAGAACTGTATTTTTGTTAAAAAAATTAAAGGATAATGCAAGTGAACAAAATATTCTAAATTGTTATTATGCATTTTTTCATTCTCACCTACAATATGGTGTTCTCTGATGGGATAACTTTGTAGGAGCCAAAACCGTTTTCAAATGGCAAAGGAAAGAAGTTAGGTGCATTAGAGGAACAAAGCCCAGGGACGATTGCAAAGCAGATTTTAAGGCCTTAAATATCCTAACCCTTCCAACTTTATACATTTTAAATTGCTTATTATACGTAAAAGAGAATATAGAGCAAGATAGTATCCGATCTGACATACATGCACATACACAAGAAATAGCCATCATCTCAACTTACCACTTACAAGACTTACACTTTCACACAATAGCTACAAATATCATAGTATACAATTTTTTAATAAATGGCCCCCTTCCGCAATAACAATTCCTATAAAAAAAATTCAAAACAATCCTTGATTCATGGTTAAAATTAAAATATTTTTTTATCTTACTCTGTAGATAAGTTCTTGTCCTTGGAAGGTTTTAGATACAAGTTTTTAAATAATATAAAATCAAGGTTCCTGTTATTTATTCCATTTCCATGTCTATGTTTAATGTTTTAAAGATAAGATGCCATTTGACAATGCCAATTGCTTTTGTAGAGATTTGTTTGATTTGATTTGTAATTTTAACTTTAACTCAACAACATCCATTAGCCTAGACTTTATCTTTATACTTTTTGATTTTACACTGCAGCCTGATGATAGCACAACAATATGCTAAAACCTAGGTCACAGAAAAAAACAACGTTATTTTAATGTGAATAGTTTAGTATGAAGATATTTAAAATGTTATTAGTTCCTCACCTGTCCACAGAGTTCCATTTTCCACATCTCATGATGTCAAAAATATCAAAAGTTACAGCAATTTTTGTGATTTTACCCCAAAATATCACAGTTTCACCCCTTAGATGCTTACTGCTTACCCATTACAAGGGTTGTTGGCAAACTAATGAGAGATAGTATGTGAATTTGCTGATACAGTTTATTAGTAAGTGTATAATCGATGTGATGGCACTATATAGAAAACTGAGAATGACAGGTCTTCAAGGGAAAAAACCTCTTAAACAACTGCCTCTACTAAATGCAAAAAAATTGTAATTTGACTCTTGGTTTATTTTTGTTTACCATGTGTATGTCCTCATCAAGCCGCTCTGCCACCTCTGTGGCCAGCTCTGACAGCCAATGAGTAACGTTGGTTTTGGTACGCAAGGACGTGACTCCCGGGAACTTCTTACAACATCCAATACTCTTGGACACCAGCCGAGGCGTCACAGGGTCCAAGTCTATCCCACGGGCAATGTTGTACAGCCAAGTCCTGGGAAGAAATTGTATCAAACATCAGCTTATTAAATGTGAATAAGTGTTGATCTACTTAATAAATACAACAAAAATAAAATTATTAATGTGAAACGAGATAGTTTTGTTGAAATACTGATACAACTTTTTGGAATTTTAAGCGTCAGAATTGAGGAATGAAGGAGTTAAAAACTAGAAACATTTGTGGTTAAGTTATAGAGGCAAAGAGCAATTAATGGAATAAATTAAAATTTGAGTGAATAGCCCAGGATGGTGAGAAATAGTACTGCACTAAGAAAAGTCATGACACATTTTACACCAAAATAATCACATTATGCTAGATGTTAATGTTACACACTTCAACTATACAGTTCATTAGTCATGAGAATGAATGTAAAAACAACCAATTAAAAAAAGGATTTATCATATTTTAATTTTACAAGTTTAAACTCACTTACCCAGTTTTGTCGTCGTACTTTGCTTGCAGCTGTTTCTCAGTGAAGTTAGCCAGTTCGGACATTAGCGTGATACCTAGCCTCTCCACAACATCGTCCCCCAACTTGCCGCCGAGGTTGCGAACCTTCTTCAGAGGCAAGCTGCTGTACAGTTCTCTCACACTGGCAGGTGGCAGCACTGTCTGTCTGTTGGGTTTGTGCATTCCAGCCACCAGTTTGGCCAAGATCTATACCAAAAGATTACACTAGAATTACATGTGTATTCACTCATAACCTACCTAACTATAACTTGTATAACTTGACCTATCCTACCTGTCAAGGAGTATTTGAAACATTCTGAAGAATGATTTCAAGCGTAATGAGTCAACAGAGGTTGGAAGGAATGAGATCCGATTTATTCTGTTTCTGACTTACTAGCTGATTAACCAAATCAAATTACGGATTAGAAAAAACAGAGAGCTACGAGCGTTATACCAAGACACTGATATAATAGCTTTGATAAAGGCAAAAAGATTAGGTTGGCTAGGTCATGTATTGCGAAGGGAAGAAGGAACAAGACTGAAGGAAGTATGTTCTGCTGTACCAACTGGAAAGCGTCCACTGGGTAGACCAAAAATGAGATGGTATGACCAAGTTAAGAGAGATGTGAGTCAGTGTGGAGGGACAGTGGAGATGGCAGCGGACAGAGAAGCGTGGAAGAGGCTGATCTACGAGGCGAAGAATCGACTGCGATTTGTAGCACCCCAGCAGTAAGTAAGTAAGTAAGCTGATTAACCAACGATAAAGTCAACCAATCAAACTCCATGAATAGGCGAGTCTACATCATCCAAACATTTATTGCCACACTATTCAGACACGACCATACCCACATTTATCTCAAAATTACATTTGGCAAAACACTATCCCAGCCAAAGAAGAGAGGGTTTTCTTTATAATACTATGCTTTATGTTACACAAATCTCTGTTGGATAAGCAATAACTAATGAGTAAAAATAAACTAATTCACTTTGCTCGTAAATAACAAAGTTTTAAAATTTTTAAGTAAACTTAACCAATGTTATTGTAATAATTGTCACATACACATGGCTTGTTTGTATCAAGCCACTTCTTAAATCTCAGGGAAAATTTTGATTTTGTCCGGATAAACTAAAAGCCAGTAATAATTATGTAAATGAAATATATAGCAGTCCCACAAACTCAGGGCGATGTGTTTGAAAAGTGAGGAGTTATTGGAGAAAAGGGTCAACAATTAAAACTAAGAGAAAAAGTTGTAATTTTCTGTTTTTCATGCATATTAACTACATTTTTATAAAACCAATAACAATGTTTAATTTTGGAAATAAAGATAATTATTCACAAAATTTACGTTTATTATTCTGATGTTGTAGTTATTAGGTATGACTCTTATGACTCCGTCCTAGTGTCAATGTCTGCAAGCGGCACTAGGTTTAGACTGTTTAGAGGTTCGGATGTCAAAGGCAATGTATAACTTTCAAAGCTACTGAGTTCTATAGTCCACTGTCTTCGGGTTGTAAATAAACGTTAATAATGACATAGGGTTTTGTTAACCTTACATTTTTCATAGGTTCGCCAACAAAATCCTGCTTTGTTATTGGATTCTGATTTTGTGACATTGCTTGCATGGTTGCAAATAACTTATAAAAATTATTCTTGATTACCTTGTTATGTGCAATGCCAGCAGAACAGCGGAAACCTGTCCGATCATAGACAGCAGCTCTCATTTCCTCCACGAGGGCTGTTGCAGTAGCTAACTTGTGCAGCAGAGGGTCAGAGAGGCTGCAACCGTAAACCTCACCAAGCCAGGTGTCAACCCCGACACTGCGTGCTCCTGAAATATCAAATACAATACACTCAGACAGCAAAATACATGTAGCTCGCATACATTCACTGTATTGTCAGTGGCAACGTGTTTATCAATCGGCTATTCAACATCTGTACAAATATGATTGCTCTTGGACTTCTTTCTGATTGGACAAGGGTTTGGTCTCAAGGTGTCTTAATAAGAATGGATTACTGAATTATTTTATTTTATACTACTGTAGTTTATAAAAACTTACCAAACATCGTGTGGTAGTTTGGACAAGAGGCTGGACCCAATAATAGAATGAGGAGTCTCTTACAGCAGTAATTTTGTTGTTTGAAATGAGGCAAGTAGTGTTAGAAATGTTAGTCTTTATATTGGGAGGGTTTTCATTCTCAACCCACAAAATATTTTAAGACAAAAATTGGTTTTACATAGTCAAATAGCCTAATGATTAAACTGCTCAGTAGATTAAAACAAGTTTTGTTGTGAAAACAGCATTTTCAAAGCTTGCAACTAGTCAAAAACACAATTAAAACAAACACAACACGGACATAAAAACTGTACGAATATACAAACATTATGGCCCCTTTTATGCACGACGTTTTTCGTCAGGCAGAATCCATTGGGCATTCCATCTGGGTAGGGCGGAGGACTTACGCTCCACCGAGTTTCGGCGTTCTGTCGGAGCGTTTTTTACATAGGATCAAATGGAACCCTTTTATGACACGGCATTTTCCGTTGGGCGGAATGCAGCGCTGCCAACCTACCCTGTGCTCTGTCATACACAGTATCAAAATCGCCTAACCATTTTAAACAGTAGATCATTGTAATGGACCGAGGATACAGCTAAAGAAGTGATATGCCTAATTGCAAAAAAAACTTACATGGTGAGTATAATTAAGTTTAAATTTTTGTTTAAATCCTCGGAATAAAACAATCATTTCACAGCACACTGTATAAGTTTGCAAAAGCTCCAACCAGTCTACGACTTTGATTCACCGGGTGTGTACAGCCCACCTCCTTCCACGTTGTCTAATTTTCTTCACAGAAATAGTTCACACCCAAAAAAAAAGGATCTTTCTTGCCTTTTGTGACTGATGATGGCCAAATGAACAAAGTTGGCAGCACTGGCACCCCCCACCGCCGACCTTATAAAAAACCAGCAGATTCCGCTAGGCGGAAAAACTGCATAAAATGTGCCTAGATTCCGGCCGACCGAAAACGTGCATAAAAGAGGCCTAAGATAGTGTTATCATAATCCTGAATTAGTCCGGTGCGGCGCAGGGGTTGGTATCAGTCAAAAAATATTTTACAACAAAATTAAGAACCTAAAAAAAGTATTAGAACAGGCCCTAACCACCAAACAAATTCTGTAGGCCTAGTACCAAAAAAATGCTGGATTGTCATAAAATAAAATTCAACCCTTACATAAAATGAAATCATAATCTAGGAATGGGGAGAGGCAACGGCAATGGGTTTAATTAGGTTCATTACTTTTTCATTTGAACAATACCTTCGTCATTGCTGCTGTCTGGTGAGTAGCCGACAACAAATGTGTTCTCCAGCTGAGCTGATGTCACCTTGGTGTGTTTAGCCAGACGTTGCGCCACCACCTCCGTCAGGTCGATGTACGCCTCGTCCACGCTGGCTCGCTGCACCACCTCGCTGAACTCACAGATCACCTTGATCACTTCACGTCCTGCATCTCGATACCTTAGTCATAAATAAACCAAATGATCACAATACAATATAGCTTACCTACTCAACTAACTATAACCAACTATAGCTATTATAACCACTTTGAACTGTAAAACTGCCATTGCCAATCTAAAATAGAAGGAAGTAGACACTAATAAACAGCTTATGTACAACTTGAAATGGCTGAAAGTAGTAAACACATACCGGTAGTTATCCTAAAAACTGTTAAATACAGTAACTGTACAATCATTACCAGGCGAAACACATCCATTTACGTAGATGTATCTGATGTATGTAGTTACTGCCAATGGTGTAGTCGCACTATTGTCGCAAAAAAATAGGGTCTGACTTTGGGGAGGTACGAATGAGGCATTAGTTCAAAATTCCTCCGTGAACAGCGCTGTAGTAGAGAGCACTTTGGCAATGAAGGTTTACTAATCGCAAAAATAGTTCTGTTCATAAAATAAAATTATAAATGCCTCAAATTCAATTTTATAATTTTTTTATTATAAAATTAAACCATCATAACCTAACCGAACTAACCAAACTTGCTGATAATGAAATATAACAAAAGTTTATTAATATAAAAATAATTCTGTTTATTAAATAAAACTAGAAATTGCTCAATTAAAATGTTATAATGACTTAATATTAAAACTAAACTGTCATAACCGAACCAAACCAACCAAACTTGCTGATAATGAAAAAAATCTTGGACAAAAAGTTAATGCTACCAGCGGGATTCGAACCCGGGACCTTCAGCATATCAGCCCGGCACGCTGACCACTAGACCATCGAGGCCGATGGCCAAAGACCGTATTGTTACGGTAATGGCGTTTCTTCAGCTAATAAGAAGTCCACAGCTGTCATCGTAGGCTCTTCTATACCTCCCCTGAGTAAATACCAAAAAAATACGGGTCACTTACTCATATAATAGGTTCTTTAGAAAAAGCAGAGTGGGAAAGCCGTTCCTACCTCACTAAACTACTAGTTACTACAGGACAGATGCGTTCACTCAAGTGGCCAGAACACACTGTTATTAAAATCATTAAAAATTCTCAGTCTTTCTAGGTTTTTCTATAAAAGTTTTCTTTTCAAGCGTAAAATAATTTTGATGTCTTGTTTGTATATTGTCTATTATATATATATATATATATATATATATATATATTTTTACCATGTACAATATTTTATATTCCTCAAAATGTAGGTACAGCAAGTATTGCATAAGCAACATCTAAACTTTAAGCAACTTTGAAATTGTTTACATTCATTTTAAAAGACTTTACTCGACTTCTGTCTGCTCTCTGTACTCTCCCTCCAGTAATGGAAAACATTGTTATCTCAATACTTGGCCAAAAAATCAATGTTTGACGAAAACCTTGATGTAACAAAAACATCGGCACTTTGAAGTATCCAAAATACACGTTTGATTTCATCATAATGGAACCTTATAGTGAGCACTAAAATGTTCTTTTTTTTCAAAGTTTTAAGTGCAATTAAGTAGCCTAATTTGTTAACAAAAAAACCTAACCTCTTAGAGAGAATAGAACCGTCAATGGTCCCTGCAATTATATTTCTATAACTTAATAAACAAATCACTTACTTGGTCAGATCAGCCTTGCCACGCACTGCTGGTACGCTCACTAGTTGTATCTCTGGACAATGTTTTTTGGCTTCGTCTCCCCGCATATGCCTTGTGACACCCATGTCTCTTGCTTCGTAGTTCACAGCAATAATCCTATACAGATTTGCATTATATCAATGACTAAATAAACTAGGCATAATCAAAACTGAAACTAAAGGTTGTTAAAGAAAGTTTAATTTTTTGTTTGGGTAGTGTACTTAGATTAAAGTGGCTCAAAAATACTTAAGTCGAAGCTTTTTAAAACTAACTGTCCATAATTAGATTGGTGATAAAGATTATCACAAAATAGGGCAATGAACTCTTACATTAAGTACAATTTGAAATAAAAATCGCTAATTGTTGCTTAATGCAAATTTTTAAACAGCAATCATCAGGATATAGTTTATGACTGGGACGGTGGCATCGTCTTTTAATCCAGCTACTAGGAGGTCACGAATTGTGGATATTTATAGGCATGCACTGTGGATGTGATACTCCCTTGTGTGGATTATTGTCCGCACTAGTGAGTACAACGACTCCCAGCAGTACTATTCTACTTAGACCAATCTGTTAATACCAAGGCAAACATGTGGTTCAGTGGTTCGGATTCCACTATAAACTGTAGATTCTTTAGTTGCCATTAGCTGTAGGCCTAATGGCTATTAATTAACAGGTGTGCCTAAGGAATATGTCGGCCTTAGTCACTAAAAAGTAAAAAGACTACAAGATCGCGTCACTCATCTCCATTCATACTTGGCTTAAAATACCTACTTTGTATGGTTTTTTTTAAGTAGGTATAAAACTGATAGCCTAGGCTTAGTCAAATAAAAGAGGACATTTGCTTTTGATCATAAAAACACAACTAAGTAGTTTATTAGGCTCAAAAATATTAAATTATGAAATAATCCATAAAACTTAGCTTATTTGTAAAATAAGCCTACTTACCCACCACCCTTCCACTGGTTATATTGAACCACAGCCATTGGCTTCCCTTTCAGTGATGGATTCAGCCTAGTTTCTACTTGACAATAGAAACAGTCCATGTCGACTAGAGCAACAACCCTGTCATTCATGTTTTAAGTACTTCAGTCTGCTTCTGTGTAAAACAAAATGCAAAAGAATATGAAATAATTTGTTAGTTATACTATTTATTATCAAAAACACTACAAGTGTAGGCTATCTTCAAAGGGCTAGCCTATATATAAAATACCTTATAGCCTACGGCAGCTATTTTAACTCACAAAAACACTGGAAATGAAAACAAACAACAAGCCAGGGGTTGAGATGAGTAACTTAAGTTACCATCGATAAAAAAAACTAGAAAATACAAATAAATAACTTACTTTAAGTGGTCCAACTACATTATAGTCCTAGTTCAATAGTGTTCAGGCAAGTGGGATACAATTACTATTTACTTATCGTTCCAAACAGTTTGTCAGAGTTTATGAGAGTATAAACTTTGGTAGTCTACATTAAAATACTGCTAGATTAACGGTTAGGCCTATGTTCTTTCAAGAAATTGAAGCCTAAGTAGTATCGTTGAGCTGCACTTCTATTTATTTATTTATTTATTCTTATTTATACTTCTGTAGGCCTATCAATTATTTTTTCATTCGATATATCAAGTTTGGTTGCAAAACCTAACAAAACTGAATGAAATAATCAATATATCAAATAATTAATTTATAAATCAACATTTTTCATTCGAATGAGTGTAGGACAGATACTAAAGTGCAGCCAAATGATTTTTCGCCACACTATGATGTTTTTAGCAGTTTTACATATACGTTAATTGGTGGCTGAAAGTTATGTTTTGCTGGCCATGCCATCTGTCATCGTCATTTGGGGATCGAGCAAGTTTTTACATCCCTAGGGCCACAAAATCAGCTGTCCCCTTACTTTCTTAAAACATGAATGCATATTAAATACACAATCAGTATCCGTAGCATTGCAATAGAATTTTTTTATTGTCACCATTGCCTAAGTTAGCAACTAGCCTATTTATTATTATTATTGCTGATTCTTCAAATTATTTCTTCACCTTAACCTTTAAGTTGTAAGTTAGTTGTGTTGACTATCAGTGTGCATTATTATTGTGGCGAATAGGGCCTAGTGGTAATAAAATAGGGCATAAAATAGTGTGGTGAAAAATAGCGTTCCCACCACGGACCCAAACTAACCAAACCAACCAAACTTGCTGATGGTGAAAAAATCGCATGAAGGTTTACTAATCAATCGATAGTTTCAATCGATATTAGCATAGCCCAGTTAAGAAACTGTACCCTGGTTTTGCAGCTCTCGATCGTTTTAAGTTCTCGACTTCGTCTCAAACTAAAAAACTATCTCGAGTCGACAAAACCTGATTCACGGCCCTAGGTACGAAATATACTATTGTAGGCTTATTGACTATGACTAGTTTGAATAAAGAATTCCAATATAAAAAGTAGGGTTAGGTTATGAATTGATTTGACGTCTAGAATAGACCTATAGGCCCTAATTGTAAGATTATTTGCTGTTTTTTTATTAAACTTACTCAGTAGACTAGCACAGTAAACAATTAAATTAAAAATTTCTGAATAGCGTAATAATGTAAAATGAAAATAAATAATTTTCCTGGACTAACCTCTTTGTATTAGGTGGATTAGGTTTAACGTTTAGTTAGGCCCAGCCCAGGCTATGTATGTAATGTTATTTGTTATTTTTTTTATTGCTATGTAAACAAATCCACAACTAAGTTAATCTTACATTTTCTAGTTCTACTCAAAAGGTCGCTGATTATGTTACTTTTTGTTGCTTGTTCCCAACAATTCAAAGTTTTGTAAATTAAAACACTAAAATCAAAATCTCTTTTTTTTCTTTTTTTTAAGCTTAAAACAATCACTTTTATAATTCACTCTTCATCTGTACCCTGCCTGGGCCTGACCCTTCGTCTTTCTTCAACAGTGGTCGATCTCATGTGTGAACTGAACTGTCACTGTCACTCAACTCACTGTCCACTTCCTTCCACTGTCCAGTCTCCACATACATGAACCACGGCCGTGCATCAACACTACGGTTGTCAACAGTGTCAACCACTGAGCTGTGGTTAGAAATAGAATTTATTTATCTCAATGCTGTCGCTGTCAACTGTCACTTACTACACTATAGAATAATATTAATATTATACTAATATAATTTTTAAACACTACTAAGTTCCTCGCCCTCCTCACCTCAAATTTGGAGGGAGCTCCAAACAAAATAAAACCGACAAAACCCGGGTCTGACTTAGGGGAGGTACGATTGAGGCATTAGTTCAAAATTCCTCCGTGAACAGCACTTTAGTAGAGAGCACTTTGGCAATGAAGGCTTAAGTTACTAATCGCAAAAAAATAATGCCTCAAATTAAATTTTATTATTTTTTAATTATAAAATTAAACTATAATAACCTAACCGAACTAACCAAACTTGCTGATAATGAAATAATATAACAAAAGTTTAGTAATAGAAAAAATAATTCTGTTTATTAAATAAAACTAGAAATTGCTCAATTAAAATTTTAAAATGACTTAATAAATAAAATTAAACCGTCATAACCGAACCAAACCAACCAAACTTCCTGATAATGAAAAACTCTGGACAAAGAGTTAATGCAACTCGCGGGATTCGAACCCGGGACCTTCAGCATATCAGCCCGGCACGCTAACCACTAGACCACCGAGGCCGATGGATTCAGGTCGTATTGTTACAGTAATGGCGCAGGACTACTAACATACAAGGGCTGGCCCACTCCTTTGAAGTGAACGCGTGCCGCTTGATGCTGCCCCCCCTCGCCCCGCGCACCCCACCTTCCACCGCTGTGACGTAGCAGCGGTAGCTGCCGCCAGACACTGCCATTGCAACACGTGCTTTTACGCCTGCAGTTGTCTTGTATTTATAACGTGTGTACATAGAAATAGTATATTGTTTAGTTATGATATTATTTTAAACGTAATAGTACTTTCATATAATGTAGTTTTAGTGAGTGTTTTACACCATGGTGGGCTGCAGTGTCGCAATTTGTAGGAACCACTCTAAAAGAACAAAAGATGTAGTATATCACGTTTTTCCAAAAAATCAAAGTTTGAGAGATGTGTGGGTTCAGAAGTGTAAAAGAGGTGATGTTTTCGATCCCAAACATGGAAGAGTGTGCAGTGAACATTTTTTGGAAAGTGACTATCTAGACGATTTAAAAAACCGACTTCTCGGATTACCACAAAGGAAAATACTAAAAGAAGGTGCTGTCCCATCGGCTAATTTAGAATTTAAAAAGGTAGGTGATTGTTTAAATGAAAGAAACATAAGGCAAGTAAAAAGAGGAATTAGACAATCTGCTCTTGAAAGGTTGAAATCTCTTAGCCCCCAAAAAAGTAGCCCGCGTAAAACAATCGGTACACCAATTACTAGCCCAAACAAAAGTCCTGTCAAACAAACAACTGATATTCCTAACTTAATTGGATCAAGCCCTGCTATAAGTCCAAAATTAATTGAATCAAGCCCTCATCTTGCACTTCAATTAAAATTTAGCCCAAACAAATCAGAATCCACACACTCAAACTTAACATGTGGCCCAAGTCCAAAAAAACGAAAATTACAAGAACTAAACTGTGATAATTGTTGCGATTCAAATGCGAATGAGGAAAATTCTAAACGTTCTGAATGTTTGAGTTGTATTGAGAAATCTAAACAATTAGAGACATTGAATTCGCAAGTAAATAAATTAAAACAACAACTAAAGAAAACTCAATGTAGCCTAAAAATCAAAAGTAACCGGCTAAATAGGTTTCTTAGGAACAAAGCTAAAAAAGTTGCCAATGTGAAAAATAAAAAGAAACATAAACATTTAGATGGAGAAATTAGAACTTTTTACGAAAATTGCCAAAGAATATTTACCAAAAACCAAATCAAAGCCATTATCAAAAACAAAAGAGGGAAAAAAGGAGTGAAAGGAATTAAGTGGAATTCCGAAAACATTTCACGAGCAATTATTCTTAGATCCATTAACCAAAAATGTTATAATTTCCTTAGAGAAAAATATGGTTTGCCCTTGCCGTCAGAATCGACCCTACAAAGGTGGTGCTCCAAATTCCAGTGCAATCCTGGGGTTCAATACAATGTGTTGAAAATTATGTCTAATAACGCAAAAAATCTGAGTGACTTAGAAAGAAAAACTGTTTTAAGTTTTGATGAAATGTCCGTTGATAGCAGGATATCCTATCATGCTGGATTAGATCAGGCATTAGGCCCATTTTCCAAAGTCCAAGTTGTTATGGCTAGAGGTCTGGCGTCACCTTGGAAGCAACCCATCTATTTTGATTTCGATAAAACAATGAACAGGGATATATTGAGTAATATCATAGTAGAACTTGAGAATTGTGGATTGAAAGTTGTAGCCGTTGTTTCCGACTTAGGTGGCTGCAACACACTTTGGAAAGGTTTTTCAGTCTGTGTCGGTAAAAACTATTTTATCAATCCCTTTGACAGCTCTCGAAAAGTGTACGTATTTGCAGACATGCCACACTACATTAAGTTGCTTAGGAATCACTTTTTGGACGAGGGCTTAAGATTGGAAAATGGAACTATTCTCAATTCTGATCTATTATTAGATATCCTCAGCAAAGATAATGGTGAAATTAAGCTTTGTCATAAGCTTAAACCAGAATTCCTAACACTGAAAGGAAACGCAAGACAAAAAGTAGGTCCTGCGAAAGCGATTTTTTCTCATACTGTCGCAAAAGCCATTTTCGTATTAACAGAAAATAAAATAGCATCCGATTTCTTTGATTTGATTGACAGTTTTTTTGATATAATGAATAGCAAGCGGCCTTTTTCGAATATCAGATTTATAAATTCAGCTTTTGGAATAACTGAAGACATTTTGACACAACAAAAAGAAGTCCTTCTCAAAGTTAAACACGAGATTGAAAACATGAGGGTAGTGGGAAAGAAAAACATCCTTCCTTTCCAGAAAGGAATAATCATTTCCATTTCCTCGTTAATAGATTTATATGAGGATCAAAAACCTGAAGGGATGAGATATGTAATGACCTGCAGACTAACACAGGACGTTTTGGAAAGTTTTTTCGGACAACTAAGAGGAGTTGGTCGATTTAATGATCACCCTACCCCAACTGAGGTTATATACCGTTTCAGAAGATTGCTGTTGTCTAACAAGCTGCCAAAACCGTCTCCCAAATCAAACATCATCAACAATGAAGACGAAAACGAAAAATGTACACAATTGACAACATCGTATTTAACAGCTGAGCTGCTAGATAGTGTGTTCAAACAAAATGCATCGGACACCAAAACTTGTGAGGGAACTGTCCCAATTAACGTGCCTCTTGAGCTAGGCGTAAACGAATCGGATTCAGAGTATGACAATGAAGACGATGAATTACGAAAGACAATTGAGGGAAAAGGTTGGGCTGAAGAAGAGTCCATCGATTACATTGCCGGGTTTATTGCGTTTAAAGTTAAGGACATTGACCCGAGCCTGGGAAGTATCCCGAAAAATCACGACGGAGAAAAAAAAAGAAACACTCCAACAGGTAAGGTGATTGAAAATATAATTTTGATTTTTTTTATAATTGCGTTTTTTTGTTTTTAATGAAATGATTCGTTTTCGCTAGACTACTGTGAAATGTTCTGTTTTCGTTACATGTTTATGACCTGTGAAAATTAATCATTACATTGTTTACTACGGCAAAAGAATGTTTACTATGCATAGGTAATGGTTACTACATTTTTTTATTTTGCTGACGTAAACAAACAAATATGTGTTATTGTTTTGTCAACTATTTTAATTTTCAACTACCAAAGCTGTACAAGCAAATTTAATACTAACTTTAAATTGAAACTATAGGCCTAGGCCTAACCTGAAAAATGCTATGAGTTTTTTTTTCTAGAAAATACTTAGTCTCTGAAGTGTAGCGAAAAGTAACGTTCAAAACACAAGAAAGTGAGAGTTGGTCTCGAACATTTAAAGTGCTCGATAGATCTCGCACTTCAAAATGGTCTCAAATATGTAATGACACACTTTATACTCTTGTTATGAAATATACTTGTTCATGGTGATTTTTTATCCTCAAATTATAACTTTTAAAAATGTTGTGATAACGTACCTGAGATCTTGGAATCAAGAAGTATATAATTAATAAATCTGAGCCTTTTCAATGATTGAAACTTGTTAATACTGTATACTCGTTAAAAAAAGGTTTTATAACACACAACACAAAAAAATGTTATTAAAAAATATATTATAAACTATTTTTTAGGAGATACAGTACCCATCGACCAACAGCAACAATGCCCAATAAGTGCTACTGCCGTCGGAGAACACACATCTACTAATAGTTGGATATCAACAATATCGTATGGAGGTAAGATGAACTATAGGTAGCCGAAAATATATAGCCTAATAACCTCTCCCATTACAGCCCGTTGTAGTAGCTTTCGTGTACGATCACAAAGTAAAGATTAAAAGAGGAAGTGTTTTATATATTTACAAATGAGCTGATTAATATCCAAGCCAATTAATTCCTTTCTACATATCATCTCATCACCTTTGACAAGAAAAGTTGACTTTTTATTGAGTTGTAAATCTATTGTACAACGTTCAATTAACCTAACGTTCC